TATTTTCTTTTAATATTCTAAGAACGTTTTTATAATATGCCAAGATTATTATGCGAAGTGGACATATAATATCAACAAAGAACATTTCTATAATATTACAAAATATTGTATAGCATTCTTAGAATATTATAGGAATATTATTTTAATATTGAATATTAATAAAATATTCTAGGAATATTACGCGCTTACAGGGCGATTTTCATAAATATTACATGCGCGCAAAGTGTAATCCGTTGAAATATGTGTCCCGCGACACACTCGATATTTATTAAAACGCGGTTATTCTTTCGCTGTCGACGCAGCATATTTTTCTGTTCGCTTTTTACAAAACGTTGGAATAATTTAATAATCCGAGCTCGCTCGTAAACCTTGACTATTCGCGCGAAACATACATAATTCACGTTCACTTATTTATAGTCTTTTTTTTTTTACTAAGTCAAATGTACACACACACACACATACACGTACGTACACGCATGTCGGTCAAACTAAATAGTTCGTATCTGCTCGATTAAAATTTTATTTCGCCACGTAGAGACCGACGATCGATTCAGTGAACAAATTTATCTGTAATGCTGAATGCTGTTTTTAATCGCGTAGATTAATCTTGAATGACTTCGATTTTTCGAGCGGTAAAACCCGAGATTTTGATGCTGCTACTTTGACGCTCTTAGACTAACATTCATAGTCGAATCTTATATTTAAGACCGTCTTAGAAAAGGAAGAATATTAAAAAAAATAAAACATTTATTTGGTAGTTAATAATTTGTTTATTTGTATATACTAATATACATATTTTATACTGAGGAAAAATTCCTTTCAAATAAGAAAATATACATTTTCTCGTATCTTTAGCTTTTCACGAGAGCAATTATTTATTAATGGTTATTTATTTACTTATATTTTATTCCATATATATTAGTCTATATTGCTATTTTAGCTTCTACCATGTTGTAAAATTAATGGTTAACATAGGATTAAAATTTCAACTTAGGAATTTAATCGTATCGATTCACAGCAGGACCGTTGCCGGCGCTCTCTTATTTCGCACGCGGATGAGAAGGTAAGACGATCCTCTTGCGCTCGTCCGACATGAAATTCGATCGATCGCATAACGCGCTTCCGGACGGACGGACACGTTCGATCATGATTCTTGTATACGCAATCGATAACCGCAATAATGTAGAGCGTATCTGAACGTCGCTGAAAATTTGATTAGACGCATTCGCCCACTGGCGTACGAATGTCGCTCATTTCCGTTTTGGCCGCGAGCTTGCAACATTCTTTTAACTGTTCTCTGAGCCACGTGCGCGATTGCCGCGAAGCGAAGAGATCGTCGAGTCCTTCGCTCTGTAATTAGTAAGTTGAACTATCCCTTCGCCTCTCAAGTGACGAATTAAATACCAATGATTAGAAAATGTCTGTTTATGGAGACTTCTTTAATTAATAACTCAAAAATTTGCGTGTTATTTGCAAAATAGTACAGGACTTTTCCGCTCAGTTTCATCCGCTCTACTTGCCACACCATCTCGGGAACCGAGATTAGCTTGGGACACCCTATATATTCCTGTAAGGTACGATAAGGCATTACATGACCCGCGATCGTGTGCACGTCGTCATCGTGACAATTGCGCCTCGCGATTTCGAAAAGACGATCGATCGATCGCACCTTCCGCCCGCGGCCGATTGTCCGTCATTGTATTATTGCGCAGTTCCTCGCGAGCTCTGCGACCGTGGAGGAGAAGAACGCGGGATGATAAAGGAGCACGGCATGGGCGCGAAAATAGACGGGCCGTGAAACAAGAAGAAGACCTTTGACGTAACGCTGCACGACGGCAGATGTTGCGGCATTCAGCGGAAAGGGGCCATCTTTTCGTCAAACAAACGTCGACGACGAATGCGCGAAACCGGCCGGTTCTCGCCGCCAGATCTCTTCATTATTATAGTATCGCGGCGAGAGGCTCAAGGTGCGCCCACACCGAGTCCGGCCGCGAGAAAGCAGGTGCGTCAGCTGAAACAAATGGCGGCATTCTCTCTCGTGACGGGCTCCAGGTGGAAACCCAGGCAAGTGTGAATCGAGACGAATCGTCGTTTCGCCGCGCTTCCGGGGTCATTCGAGCGACACTATTCGTGCATTTTTTTTCTCCTGGACGAGACAAGCGAGAAGTCGCGCAGTCTCTCGTTGTGAGGTGACCTTAAGATCCATATATCCATATATTCGCACACATCGCGCTTTTCCGCGCAGTCTGTTGTTCAACAATAAAGTTGATCGGCGTTGTTGTACTCGCCGGGTACTCAGGAGGGTGTCTGTTTGCCGTCGCAGGATCCTTGAATACCTTGGGATATACCTTGACGCAGACGCGGAAATCAGGCGAGAGGTGTTGCGAAGTTACGGTAGGTTCGAGCGAATCACCCGGGAGTTTGCGGGTCGACCGGAAAACCAAAGTTGAAAGTCAAAGTCGAATTGATTTCGTCGAGAATGCGGTGGAAGGAAGTGTGCTGCATTTTGGAGGAGATCCTTCAGTAGGAAAATGTATCTTCTGGAAATAAAGAAATCTTAAAGGGGAGGGGATTTGTATCTGGACGACGAATTTCCCGATTGTGGAAATACCAAATTTTGCTATTTTCGTTTGTTTAAGCTTAATTATTCAATTTATGAATATAAGGCTTGGTGTATTCAATTATACTCGAGCTGTCGAATCGTTTGCGGAGCATTGGCGTGGACCTTATCCTTCGTCCCGAAGAAAACAGTCCAGCGGTGTTGAATCGCCCGATCCGGACGGCCGATTAAAGTCCCGAGCATCGTCGAGAAATTACGCGTCCGGGGAACTTTTCGCGCGATAACGCGATTGTCTCGCTGTTGCGTGTGGCGTAATACGCTTTGCGTCGTCCTGCTGGAAATAAACATCGTTCGGATTCGATACGTTATAACGCGTGAAAAAAATCGCCGTCGATCCCGCCGAACGTGTTGATGTAATCGTCCTTGCATAACTTGCGCGCAATGTAACAAAGATGAAAATTACGTGACAGCTGTCGCCGGCGACGCGGACAGGCTGAATTATGTTGATTGCCGATAGGCATGCCGGGGGAGACAGAGGGAAAAGTGCGCCGGGCGTGTCGTTGCGTCATCTCATTATAAGCTATAATTGAAAAAAAAAAAAACACGAGTAAAAAGAATTGTCGCTGACTGACTGCACATCAAGACGGTTGTTCGCGCTGTTGGTGTTCGGTGAGGATGATATTACGCATAAGCGATCAATAATAGGTAACGCCGCAGGATAAAATCGGGGAGGGACGTTGAATCGCGAAATTTGGTTTTCAAAATTCTTCGAACGACTCTTCATTCATGTACAGAATGACTAAAGAGTATCAGACCGGCGAGATATCAGGGAAATAAAAACATCTGAAGGAAAAATGTTTCGCATATAAATGACAGGGTTTCGACAAATGCGTCAAACGGCAATACCCGTTTGACTTTGAACGCAAGTATGGAGGAGCTCTCAAAGTCAAGTTCGTTGAATATTCAACGAAAACCCTTATTTTTATTCAATATTCCTGTGTACGTAAACACAAGAGGTATGAGTCCGACCGGGCTATTTTCACGCGGCACACCTTGGATGAATTCATACCTCGGAAGGTACCTAACCGGAAGAAGTTTGATCGTAATGTTATGAAAGGATCAATGTCAACTATAAGAATACTGAATAAATCGATAATACCCTACATTTTGTTAACAACAACGACTTTTTATCGAGGCCTAAACGACCCCGGGTGATCGTTTACGTAAAAAAGAAAAAGAAAATATAAGACGAATATTCCCGGGTTAATCACTGAATTTTGTTAACTCCTGATAGGCTTATTATAATCAATCTCACTTAAGAATATTCCGTGATATTTGCGAGGTGAATTTCATACTACCTTGCCAGGCACGTATCCATTGATACATCCGAATCAGTTTCTCAATCAGTGTTCGATTAGATCGGTAATTATTTTATCGGAGGAAGAAACGGTCTGTTTCATAAGAATACTCGAGCGCGTCGACTCGACTACTTCACGTGGCCGCTTTACTCGGCGTTGTAACGAAGCGGTGCCACTGCTATTTATTTATTTATACTGTGCGTCGTAGCGACGGACTTATCGACACTGATAAGCTCAAGAGTATTCTGCGGGTGCGTCTAATTACAAGAGTAATTGCAAGGCGGCCATTGGAACTGTCGCGGTAGTCGTCATTGATCGTTCCTTCCGACGAGACCGTGTTTCACTGTCGATGTCGGTCGCGCAGTTCGAGAGAGAAACTCCTCCCCGCGATCATTAATCGACGAACGAGCGGCCGACGAGCGATCGCTACGAGATTGCGGTACCGTCGTCCTCCTGTCGTAGTCCGTTTTATTCCGTTCGATCGGAAGGTGTACGTGTCCTCTCCGTGTGCCCGAGATCCTCCTTTCTCCTCTCCGATTCTTCAATTCGCGCGAGAGCCTTCAAGAATCGGCTCATCCCGACGCCGCTCGGTCCGCGCGCCGTCGTTGCTTGCGCGCTCGCGAAGATTCGCGAAGTCGTCTCACAGGTGAAGAACCCCAACGGGCTGAGTATATCAAGTGTGCAAATTAATTCCCGCGCCTGTTCTCGTAAAATTCCAAGTTTATTTGACGAGAAGTCGAGTGCCAGTTTCACGCGAAACATTTCCCGCATTAATTTGTGCACCTGATGAAAGAAAAAAGATGTCGGAAGCAAGCGATTTGTCTCTCGTCTCTCGCCATTTTATCGAGCAGAGAGACGTACGAAGACGCCCCTCGGCGCACGGCTACAATTCTGGTAAACGGACGTCTTACGGAACAGGCAGATATCTGCAATAGATATTTCAGGCAATAATCTAAGCGCAAACTCAAACACGGATAACAATCGGTCGTGTTCCGTGTCGGTCTCGCTCTCTCTCTCTCTCTCTCTCTGTTTCTATCTGTCATTGTCCTAATTCTAAGCGGCGATAATTCGTGTTCCAGCAGCCAGCAGAACGGAGCTGCCATCACAGCGACTACTCCACATGTGGACATCGCCGTCCCGACTCAGGATCGGCCGGGCACCCAGGAAAAAGACTCAACCTTAAGCCTGATTACCGCGCCATCAGCCATCATCGTGGCCGGTGAAGGATGGAGAACACCGATGGCTCCAGGAGGAAGCTCTCCTTCCTCGGCTTCGGTAAACGGGTATCGGTAAGCGAATCACTTCAATAAGCAATCGTCGATTTCGATTAATTTGCATCTTGATCGGGCAAATTAGCTTCGATAAATCACAATCGAGTCCTCCTCTGAGACGTTGAGTCGTCCTCCACGCCTCCTCCCTTCGATGATTACTGTGTTTTATTACGAGTCTCGTTCGCTTGCTCACTCGGCTTATAAAACTCATTTGTGAGCATCCGGCACGAGAAATGTCGGCTTGAGTGCCCAAATCGGTTATCGGACTGATATCGGGTGATGTAGAGCCGATAAAATGATAAACGATATACTGTATCTAGTTATGTGTATATATATATATATTTTTTTTTATATTTAATATTAAATAAAAAGTGTAATTTAAGATTTTCATTTCATTTATAATAAATATAATATAATAAATATTAATGTTAATTATATATGTTAATTATATAAACAATAAGTCTAAATATTAAATAATTAATAATCGCACTTTTGCCCATTTCTCTGGAGATTTCTATTGATCAGTATCAGATATAAATATTGCTAAATATTTGCTACACATAATGTTACTCAAACTTATTGTTATCTCATTTTCATAATACGAACTCTTACTATATATTTAACTAATTTTATAACGTGAACGGTCACCGGGGTTGTTTTCATTGTTTCTAAATTTATTTAATCATTTAAAAATAAAATTATTCGTAATATTTTTGCATTCTCAAATGTAAAAATCTTCAAATAACTTTATTTTTAGTAGACAGCAATTCCGAAAGTGAATTTTTAAGGCGGAGTATAAGAATGCACATTTTTAATAAGAAATAAATAGACAAAATATACAAACCCATGTATGTAAACTTCTTATCATTATTTTATATAAATTTGGGTTAAAAAAAATCACTTATCGAGACTTAAACTAGCGATCTCGCACTGACGAGTAAGGCGCGTTATCGCTGTGCCGCGTGATCGTTGGTACGCGTAAGTTTAATTAAACTTACACGGCACTCGGCATTTTTTCACTTCGATTTTCTCGAAAATGCTTGAGAAGTACACTTTCTCCTATTTCTCAATTTATTTTTATTTCTCAATAAGGGTTCACACCGAGGCTTATCCATACAAACAATATTATTGAAATCGGTGGGCGCTACCTTGTGACGCCCCCTTGTAAGATAAATATGTTGCTTAAAATCTAATAAACAAGTTCTAATTAGCATTTAGCTTGTATTGGCAGTTATGTTACTCACTGAAAAGTAATTTAGAAAATAATCTATCGAATTACTGGATATTCCGATATTTACGAAAATGTTATACTTAATCGGACTTCGAAAAAAGAAGGAAGGACAAATCAATTACAAACATCTTCATTTACTGTTTATGATGTATATTAAAAAAAAAAACTTGTCAAGATTCAATTTATCTATCTTCAATTTTTTGTCCAATATCCGATTTCTGATGAATCCGCATCACTGTGCGGTGAGATTCGCGACAGTCTCCAATGTAAGATGGTTCTCGCGAGGAAAAGCCGTGGGCAATTTCGCACCGTTGACCTGGATCGAGGCGATTTCGCGAGGTGTAGTGAAACGAATCGAGGCGTCTGTTTTACGTATGTTTCGACCTCTCCAAAAGACCGGAAGCCATCTGATGGAAGCGCAAACTACCGGCAAAATGTTCGGAAATTCGATGACGCGACCTCTTTTCGAACAGGATGGACCGATAAATCGATTCACGACCACAGGGTAAAATCTGCGAGATTACTTTCCTCTGTTGCATTCTCGTCGTCGTCGTGCGTCGTCGTGTCATCAGTGTTTGCTGGTATCTAGATGACATCATCTAGATAATCGTCCAGATGAACGAATAGATCATCTTTATTTTTATCTAGGCGGAAGGAATACAAAATATATTCATCTTCATCCTAGATTAAAACATGTTACCTCTTCTTTCTAGCTGCACTGCTGAACCGATGCAACTAAAAAGAACAGACTGTTTGTTTCAATTGATCAATCCACTTTAAGCCCGTATCAAACTGTTGACTGCGAAGACCAACCTGACTGCCGATTACGACTGCCAACATTACGATTACTTTGACAAATTACTTAATCGTTGTGTAATTTTATGATCTGCGTAAATTTTATTATAAATTTTCATAAAATCTCTCATGAAAATAATATCGTCTAGAAAATTATCTAGACAAGTAGCGCTTCTTATCTTCCGTCTAGATCAATCAAAAGCAAAATCATCTTCATCTCATCTAAGATGAATTTTTCGGATTTTCACCTCATTATCGTCTAGATGAATCTGAAATCATCTAAGGCAAACACTGCGTGTTGTACGGTTTTTAAAGTATTAACAGTTTCGCCGGGGTAGCGCTTACGCAAGGCGTCAGAAGTCGCAAATTCGATTATCGAGAGCGGTGTCAATCGCGCTATCATGTAACGCTCGATCGCCACCGGCCAGAGTACAGTCGGATCGTTTATGTTGGAGCGTGCTTGCACGTGATCCACGTAAAAGATATCTCGCTTCTATGTACGCGATGGCAGTTTCGAAGGTAGGAGACGCGGCCACTTGTTGTAACGGAAGCATTACGTAGATGACGCGCAATTAATTGTATAGTCATATCACTGTAATCTCGCTTATTGATCGATAATGCGTGAGTTTGAACCGAGGATGCCGAAACCTGTCTAAAGGACCTCGCACGTTTCATATGAAAAAAATAAACCCGCTCAAATCGCTTCGTTCTGAGATGTGTTGTAGTTTAGATGAATTCCGAACGAATGTTCCTCTTTCGCCACAATCGCATAAAATCAATAGATAAAGAGAGATTTAGAGGTTTCGAAGTCATAGAATTTGAGTGTGTGTCGTATTTCTTTAAGATAGCTTGATGCTTACTTTTATGCGTAATAGGTACACACCATATTAATAATGTTGGGTGTCGTGTATGTGTGTGTGTTTTTTATGTGTTGATTTTATGATTTTATGATTTTATGAATGTGGCAAAGGAGGCATTTGTTCAGAATCATAAACGAAGCAACTTGACCGAGTTTATTTTCTTCATATAAAACGTGCAGAGTCTTTTAAGGTATATATGTATTTATATTTTCGTTCAATATAGTTTATTTACTTTTGCTCTTACTCCTGCTACTGTTTTTACGATAATTTTCATCTTAAACATCGGTGTCATTTCCAAATAAAAAAAGAAACCGGCTTGAAAGTGACAAGAATGAGATCAAGACGATCTGACCACGAATACCGTGCTATAAATCGTAATTTTGCTCAGATAGTTTCTTCTAAGAATCCTTAAAACATTGTCACCACCCGTCTAATATCATTATCAATGAGATATTAACGATGAATGACAGTGAAAACGATTATATTAATAATAATACAACGATTCGGATAATCAGAATATCGAAGTGGTTATCTAATATTAGTGATAAAAACCACCGAGGTTAATTGGCAGAGGCGGGTAAATGATCTCGCAGAGACAACTCCCGGCGAATGATTTAAAAATGACGTATCTTTATTTAACAGCGCCGGTCGTAAAAATAACCTTACGAGCACACCGTAGCGATGCGCTGGCGAGAAGCTCCTGTGGCTCTTCTTCCACCTCTCTCCTCACGTTTCCTCTCAGTCCGCCGTCCTTCCCTGCCGCTCATCTCCTAGTCAAGTTCAAGGTTGGATGTTCGTTTAACCCATCGCGCAAAGTTGGCTGACCTCGCTGACACGTCATCGCGAATGCGGGAGGGTTGCGAGATCGTGCGCTTTGCGAGTTTGCGAAATCGAAGAAAAGCTATACATAACTCACGAACGACCAAGCTTGCACCAAGCTCCGATTAACTCTTAATCTCCGATCAACCCGGGAATAGTCTCACCTGGGGTCATTTCATACCTCAGGCGGTCAGAAAATGAAGCTCACGTCGCAGTGGATTTTTTTCACTGATCGGGAACCGATACGTACCTTTCATTCGGACGTTTAGAGACTTAATCTGTGCAATCAAAATAGGCTGTGACTGGCCTTATTCTATAATATAAGCTTGTAAAAGCACATTGGGGTACAAAACGACCGCAGGCGACCGTTCACGTTAGGAAATTAGTCAAGTATGGTAAGAGTTCGTATTGTGAAGACGAGATAATAATAAGTTTGAATGAGATGATGTGTGCCCGTACTCGGTAAACATTAAGCAATATTTACATTACATCTGATACTGATCGATAAAAATATCCCGGGAAATAGGCAAAAGTGTAATTATTAAATATCTAATATTTATATTTATTGTTTATAATTTACATGTATAATTAACGTTAACATTTATTATAAATGAAATGGATGAAATTTCTAATGAATTGAATCTCTTCATTCATTAAAAATATTGTCATAATAAGACACTCGATGTGCTTATTCCGATTCTTAAATATTTTTTTTGCTTTCCCCTCATTTTTTTTTCAAAAAGTACCGAGTAAATCTATGTTTGCCAAAATGTTCCTAAATGATAATAAGATCCGCACCGGCGGCGCGGCCGGGGAATAAACCGGAGGGGCTGGCGATTCAGGGTTCAAGGTCGATCGGGAGCAGGAAGAAGCGAAAAGATACACGTCGGCGCATGTGGGGGGGTTGAAACGGGGAAACGCGGTCGATGGTAGGAAAGCTCGCGGTCGCGCTCCCGTCTCTCTTTCACTTTTTCTCGCTTTGCTCTTCTTTCTCACGCGCAGACACAAACATGCTCGTCCCTCGTCCGGTGGTGTAGTGATAATGCCACGCAGCGATGGTGGTGGAGGTTGTGGTGGTGGTGGATGGTGGTGGAATGTTCTGCCGGTCCACCACCGTCCGTGTAAATGACAGCGAAGGCGCGGTGGGTGAGATCAGTGACGGAATATGCGGACTTACGGCACACACGAAAACGTATTAATGTCGGCGCACAATAGGTATTTCAAGCGTCAAGAAATTGGCCAATCAGAGTCGAATGTGAAGAGAATAATTAACTGTGACTGGTCAATTTCATAAAGCTTGAAATACCGATACT